AATTAGAAATATATATATTTTTCTTCCTAAATTCTTAAAAAAATATATGACTATTTAAAGCAAAAATTGTAACATTTTATTGTGGGCTTTGCAGTGAAAACACACGCATTACAGATGACCACTACAGCAAAGGACTGAGGAGAAGGATGAAAATAGAAGTATATGGCTGCACAAACCCATAAACTGTTAAGTAGCTACCTGGATTACTTCATTTAATCAACCCCAATCCCTTTGAGAACAGTATTAATAGCTCTATTTTATAACTGAGAAAACGGAAACTCAAGCAACATTACACAGTTTGTCCAAAGCCACAGAGCCCAAAGCAGTAGATCTGGGACTAGACCTCAGTCCATCTGACTGAAGCTGATGATGTGTTCGAGAGACCACCCTGCCCTTCCCAGTTATCTCCTGTGTGTGTGTGCACGCACGCATATGTATGTAAGGGTGAGGAGGTAGTTTCATTAAGGTCTATATGAATAAGTTTTGCATCCTTTATAAAACCTTGGTTAGAATAGCTGTCTATAATTTATATTAGTCAGTGTTTCTTTCATAAGAATTCAAGTAACAAATTTTCTCTTAGATTTCAGTGCCAAAATAAGTACTTTCTTCAAAAGAAATCAAATTCAACCACTTGTTCACTCACGCTAAACATTGTTATGAGTAGAAACAGGGATCCATACGGTCCCTACTCTAAAGGAGTATATAGACATAATAGTGTACATAAATAACCATGAAATTAGGTAAAAAGTAATTTGCATCTCTTTAAACAAAAACTAAAACACATTATATTTCCCTTTGCTTTGCCTGCCAAAGCTGGGAGCTAAATTTAATGTTTAAGTGCACTACTCATTTCACTTCTGGTTTCTAGAAGAAGGAAAATTATCTGATCTTTTATTCTATGACTTTTAACTGTGCTAGTGTATATGCATCCTATCTCAATCTATCTCAAATCCTTTTGTGGAAGCAGGAAGAATATATAACATATAAACAAACAAGAAAGTCTGGATTAATAGTAACAAACTGAATCTAATGAATACAAATCAGTATCTTTACACAGTACAGCAGAAACATTCTGGGTAGGTTGGAGGATGAAACGAGACAGTGTGTTAAAAGTACTCCAAAAAGTAGAGCTCTAGAAACACTTGTGAATGGAAGTATTATTTTTACTATTTTCCACAGATGTTATACAAGCTCTTAAAACCCATACTGGATTTATATTTAGAATGCATAAGTTGGGAAAATGACAAATGAAAATGGGGTATTGCTAGGCAAATGGTGTTTTCAAGGGCCAATGCAATGCAAATAATGTGAGTTTTGTATAGCTTCTTTGTTTCTACAGCTTTAGAGGGAGGTGGTGAAGAGCACTAGATTAACAAAAGTGGTGGCTTAGAAGGACTACCATTACTATGCCCTTTTCACATCCTGTGCATGGTAATTTGCTAGTGCCTCTGCAATGATATCTGACAAATTTTTAAGTGCCTTAGGATGCATGTCACTGGAACCTGCTGATTTAAACACATTCAACTTTTTTCAAGTAATGTTGGACCACTTGACTCTCCAGTCAGTTTTGGCTTCTTTCCCACTCATTCAAAATTTCTAGACAAAAAGTGATCATCTTAGAAGTTGTATTTTTGATGAACATAAATAAAACAGCAGAGATTTTTAAATATACTTTTAATTAGCTTTTCTCTTTAATAAATATCTAATGTTTTTGTTTTCTTCTATTGGCAAATACAACAGATTCTTAGTTATTCAAGTGGCATCTGTTCTCCAAATATGGAAATGCAGATTATAATAATACGTTGATAACAAAAGTAGAAAGGAAGGAGGACCTGGTAGGGCAAACAGACATATTACCTTTTGTCCCTTTTTCTCTTTGATCCTGTTTCTCCCACTTCAAGTCAAGGAATGACAAGGAATCTACTGTAACACGAAAACATGATGCTATAATGAGAACAATGGATAGAATTGTCCCTTAACCATCACTAAGAAGCTAGAAGACCTGAACAAGTCAACCTCTCTGGACCGTTTTTTTTCACACATAAAATAAATTAAGCTAGAGCTTCAGTAATACCTCCTTCAGTTAAAAAATGCAATGAATTCCAAAAGTTACAACAGAATGCAGTGATACTCTTATCCCCCACAGCCCATTCTATTAGAGTCTGTCCTCCTTTCACTGGCCTTACTGTACACTCAATAAAACGAGCATTTCTATTCACAACCTGCTTAAGAGAAATTCACACAAGGTCTAAATAAGACTTAATATCATAAGACATTTGCATTTTTTAAAGACCAGTTAAACCACATGCATTTCTAATTAATAGAACTTAGTGGTAGGTACAGTCAGGGAGGAGGGAAGAAATAAATATATATATACATATTATAGACATATATATATTTTTTGAGCAGAGAGCCTCCCAATGGTCCACTTTTGGCCTACTTATCCTACTTTCTTGTTCCTCAATTACACTTCCAGTGCATTTTTTACACAGCATAATTAACAAAAACCGCTATAAACACCCTCCACTTTATTTGACTCTTTATTCTCTTTTTGATTTAGCTCCTGCTTCTAGCCTCAATGATAAGGCTTCTAAGAAGTAAAATAGCCGTCATTGCAGGACTCAGTATTGTATAACTGCACATTAGCCATACCTTCCTCAAGGCTTTCACACACACGCACACAATCATTGGAAGAATAATGGAAAGAGGAAGTGCATGGAGTGGGAATGGAAATGGAGCACAGCTGGGATTACTGCTTTTTAAGATTTATTATGGGGAAGAAATATGGGAAACAGAACAAAAAGTAATAAATGAAAGGGAAAGCATGGAGTCGGCTCTAATTAAAACAATAGGGAATATGGAAATGAAGTATAAAATGAGGCCTAGATACAGCTAGGGAGTTATATGTTTTGTTTTTAGGTTTGTTTGGGGTTTTCTATTTGTTTACTTTTTAAAAACAATATATAGTGAAGAATGGAAAAAGGAGAGTTGAGGATAATAAAAGCAGAAGTGGAAATAGAGAAAAAAAAATAGCGAGAAAAGATGATGGGCAGACATGAAACTAGAAACAGAGAAAACAGACAAAAAGAGGGGATTCCGAATAGGAAGCAAGAATAAGAGAATGCACGATCCAGTGAGAGAGAGAGTATAAAGGATTTTACAATGGTGGTGCATACAAACGGGAAAGCTGAAATGGGAGCAGAGTAAGAAAAAGAAACAGAGTAGAAACCAAGAATGAGGGAGAACAGCAAAGACAAGAATAAGAGAAATCAGAGCCAGCTGGGTTACAAACCAGCAGCATGTGTCTTTTTGTTTTGCTTTTTGTTTGCTCTTTTAAATAGGAACACAAAGTGGTGAGAGATCATGATAAAGAACAGCACCATCTGGGGCATGTTTTCATTGGCCTTTTAATGTACTACAGGAAACAGAATCCCAAAAAGAGAATGCAGGTGGGGAGGGGTGAGTGAGGCAAATGTGACAGCAACAGGAAGCAATAGAAAATGAGCTCAGTGGGTAGACCACTAACATATACAGGTGATAAGCAGGACGTTTCAGACTACGCTAGCACATGATAGGCAAAAGAATTTCATAAAGCAAGGAAAATATGACAAACACTCCAAGGGCTGATCATCAATTAATTCAGTGTAAAAACTTTATTGATGCCTCTTCCTTAATCCTGTCACCAGTCCTATCTAATAACCGAAGCTCGGATTTTACTCAATTCTTTCTCATTAATCTTTCAAATTTATTTTTTTCTCTCACTCCTCCCTGAGATATTGTGCTAGATAGACACTGCAGAATATGCAAACTTTGAGTGAGCTGGCTCTATCATCAAGAACTCCCAACTGAACAGAGGTGGCAATTAACACAAGTTACTTAAAATATGTCTTTCATGAGTATTCTAGTTGAAAGTAATGTCTCCTATAAACTGAATGCTTTCTCTTTTATGGCACCAAACACTTTCTACCTTGTATAATAGTCATCTCTTTTAAACTATAAACTCTTTAAGGATCAGGATTTTTCTTTTCTTAGTAGTTTCTGTATTCAATCGAATCTAGCATAATGTTGTACCCATAATATGTGTTCAACGGTGCTGTGATTTCTAACTTGGAATGTGGGGGCCTCATGGAGAAGACAATACTTGGCAAGATCTTAAAACATGAGAAAGACTAAAACAGACAAATATGGGGGGAGGGGCATTCCACTGCAAAGAAGCATAAAGTAGGCTCAGGGGAAGAAATAACTGTAAGTCATTTCAGGACAGGGAAGTAGCCAAGAAGAAAGAGAAGATGAGACTGGTTAAGATGGACCAGAAAAAGGAAGACTACTAGGCTGATACACTGGTTTTGATATGAAATGCACTGTTTTGAAACAATCAAACTGGTATTTTAGGAAGATTACTCTTGCTATATAACACTATAAGAGAAAAGAAAATGAAATGATCTGAACTGCAGAAGATTTACTGAAGAAGTGATTTTTAAGCTAAGTCTCATAGGATGACTAGAAGCTCCTTTAAGAAAAGGCTGTTCAGGAAAATGAAATTAAATGAGAAACTGTAACATAAAAGGGCACAACAGATTCTGGGACTAGTCTAAGTATTCTGGACCTTCTGAGAGGTCCAGAGTGGCTAGAGAACAGAGTATTTAGAGGAAAGAGATATAAAACTTAAAAGACAGGCTATAGTTATATTGTGAGGGACATTATAATTTTTCATTTGATTATAAATTTTATAATTTTCAGAGAGAAAAGGCCCCCACATTGCCTACAGAGTCATATCCTCAAATGATGGGTGATTCAACAATTACTCACAATGACAGTGTCAACATCACTGTTCATATATTCAATGTGACACTTGCATGGAATAGATCAAATCTTTTCAAACCCACTTCAGAACATTTGGTTGCTATGCTAAAGAGATAACCATTTCTAGTTGTCACAGACCCAGATCTCACTGATCGGATTCCTGGAATTTTTTCTGAACAAAACAGTAAATTCAGAATAGTGCAACAGTTATTTTCACTTTCCAAATAGAAAGGAAAACTGGGTGGAAAACAAAAGACAGAACATTCATTTATAGGATAAATTGTTTTAAATTGTTAGAGCAAATCACATACCAGTGAATTCTTTTGGGTACTGCACACTTAATGACAACTCTACATCTCTAAATTTATGATATTGGGAGAAGTGGCATTTTGTTTTATGAAAATGTTCATTGTGTTTTTCCTCTCAAGCCACACTCCCATCACACATCACAAGTTAGTATCAAGTGCTTTAAATAACAACACTTTCAATAATATGAACGAACACTGTTCTTGCTATACTTTACTATAACTTCCTGTGTCTTTGACATATTCAAGAAGTGAAACTCATGCATAGCATGTTTATATTATTCCCTCCTTAGTGAAAGCTCACAATGTCAGGTCTGGAGAGATAAGAGCTGCTTCCAGGACATGAATTCTCATGAGGATTAGGCAACCACCATCTGGGGCTCTAGAGTTTATCTGCAGCAGCTGCCTTTAAAGTATCACACTAGATGGGGGGAAAAAGTCTAAGTCTAAAGTGTTTAACAACTTGCTCTACCTTGGCTTTGATTATCGCTCTGAATTGCGTTTTCCCCCTCCCTTATAAGAATAAAATACAACAGAGTGACCTCTTAATAAAACACAACTAATTTATAACAACTTACTATGTTATAATTTGTTAATACATTATTATGTATTCAAATAAACACATCGGTGCAAATTTTCTTAACATGTTATGATATATAACAATATGAATTTTAAGTTACAATTAGCTTAATAATTACCCAACAATCACCTGCAATCATTAATAAAGGCTTAATACTCTAAATTTTTATTTCTACTTAGACAAAAAACCTATAGATTTTAACAATTTAATAATATTCCAGATTATTTTGAGAGAATTTTTAATGGCCTCAGATGACATTAAAATAACCATAACACTAAATTTCATTAAATGGAAAGCAAATATTTATAATATTTATATATCAAATATTTATGTAAAAGAACAGAGAGCTCAAAAATGAACATGTTAGAGGAAAAAGTTAATTTTAAATACTCAGTTTTAAACAGGAACTTGCTTGGGTGGTAAACACACAACAGAATATACAGATGTCAAATTATAATGTACACCTGAAAATTATATAATTGTATTAACTAACGTTACTCCAATAAACTTTATAAAAAATTTTTTTAAATAAAAAATAAACAGTAACTTGCTAAAACTGATTAATATATTTCATAGTGCTAAAATTGGTCACAATGAAACAAAGAGCTATTAAAGAAAACATAACAGGAAACGTGAAACAAAATATTTTCTATAAGGTATGAGTTCTACTCTACTAAGTCTCAAAATCATTGCACCACTAAAAATATGCCTAGTTCTTAAAATTAGGTCTTTTCAATCAAATATTCTTTTACCTGCTATAGAATCGTAAGTTACACTTGTTCATTTGAATATTCTTTGGCAAACTTATTAAATTAAGAAGACAATATTATTGTTAGTCCCATGATCTAAGATTCCGCAAGGCTTGCTATTTAACTCTATACTACCCTACCCACTTACTAAGTAAGCTCTAAAGTCTCTCATAGGACCTCTGTATTATCTTTTTAAATCACGGTGAAATCAGGTAATCCAATCTGGGCTCCAACCATCATCCAATTTTTCATTAAAAATACTAGCCCAACAAAACAAAAGTATATTCCCCTATCTATTCAAATGCCACTATAGTATGAATGATAAAGAATAGCGTTTGTCTGATTTTCAGAGACTGTTCTCAATATATCCATATTCATATGAAAACATAGTATCAACAAATACAAGATCAGTGTACTCAATTGTGTGGTATAAGTAAGTGCCAGGAGTTCAAACAGCAGTATTAATGTCTGAGTCTGAGTCTGATT